TACACGATCATTACCGCCTCGACAGTTCCTGCATAGCAGCTGCCAGGAGCGATCTGCAGTCATGTTAATCAACGCTTAGACCAACACAGGTTTTTTTTTTTTTCACCTGGAAATGGTGAAGAGCACTTTTTTACCTGCATAATTTTTCTGCTGGAGGTTGTTTTTAGCACTGGTTCAGTAATTGGAATTAAAAAAGCAAACCCACAAGCCTAGATGTTAAGCTGATGAAAGAAATAGTGGGTGTAAAGCAGATTTTATTTTAGAAAAGTGATAAATGCTGATGCAATCACTAACCACAAAAAGAAAATATTTCCTTTTTTGCAAGGAACACAGCTTTTTTTCTATTTGATCTGCACAGTCTATCTTTGTTTCCAGTTCAGCACCTCCAGTTTTTCCACCCTATATTTTCATGCAATCTTTTCACAAGCAAGCCCCCATCACGGCTGCCGTCATGTTTGGGAAAACCAAGTGTCTCCATTTTATCATATCAGTTAAATAACAACTTCCCCAGCTAGCTGTAAGAAAAGATCTGAGAACTACCTGCTCAAGTTCCTTTCCCCAGCCCCCCTGTGCTTACTGAGGAGGGCTTTCCCATGACATCTTTTGTGAGGAACACATGCCTGGAAGGAGCATGTTATCCATGCAGTGCACTACGCGATTTAATTGTGTTTCTTAATAGTTTGCAAGCAAACGCCTGCAAAAAACCAAATGTGAACAGGCAGAGCTGATGCAAAAGAGCAGATGGAAGAGAAAACACTGTCACGGGTTAAGAAAAGCAGAACGGTGACAGCAGCTTGGGCTTCCCCTCCATCAGAGACTTGAGGCATCAGAGCGGCGGTGTCTGGGGCTGGCGTGGGCTGGAGTGGAGGGGCAACGCTGGCGGCCAGCGTCCCGGTGAGAGCAATCCCGGTGACCGGCCGCTCGCTCCCTGCTCCAGGGGAGCAGGAGGTGGGAAGGGAGGAGGTCAGAGCTGCTCCCCAGAGGGCTAAAGGCGTTTGTAAGAGAAGAACAGGTTTGGCTGAAAGGTTGCTCTTAAAAACAGGCTAAACTGGGAAGAACACTTGAGGCTTGGCTGGGGGGCTTTGCCCTTTCGCCCTCCCCTCGTTTTTGATAACGTGTTTTCTGTCTTCCAGAATAGGAGGTGAGAAGGTCCTCCTCCTCTCGGCGTCGGCCTGGGGGTTCCTCACCGTCCTCACCCCGCTGCTCACCCACGTCACTTCTGCCCACCTCCTTTTTATGACCTCCTCCAGGTTCCTCATGGGGTTGCTGCAAGGTGAGACCCCTGTCCTCAGCGTCTGTCTGTCTGTCTGTCTGCCCAGGGGCTTCCTTGAGACCCCTGTCCTCAGCGTCCATCTGTCTGTCTGTCTGCCTGTCTGCCCAGGGGCTTCCTTGAGGCCCCTGTCCTCAGCGTCTGTCTGTCTGTCTGTCTGTCTGCCCAGGGGCTTCCTTGAGACCCCTGTCCTGAGCGTGAGTCTGTCTGTCTGTCTGCCCAGGGGCTTCCTTGAGACCCCTGTCCTGAGCGTGCGTCTGTCTGTCTGTCTGCCCCGGGGCTTC